ATTATTATTTTTCTTTTATGAAACTAGTAATTAAAAGAGGGTTTTTGGGATTGCTACTTTCCACTTGTTGATACTAGTAAATCACCCGTGTGATGCACGGTCGGTGAATTTCAGTCCAATTTTTTCTTCCTTCGAAATGTTTTCCACACTTCGGACGCAAAAGATTAATTGACAGTAAAAAAAATAAATTATTAGTCAATTACATCGTGCACAATTCAAAGACGAAATCATTCAAGGCCATTTTTTTTTGTCTTCAGCCACCCTTGTCACCGGAAAGTCCACCGGAAAAGTGATACTAGCGAAATCATTTTAAAAAAATAAATTAAACAGATCTGAAAAATCCAAAGACGGAGGTGGTTTGGAGGTCATTAGTCACATTTTTTAAAGCAATCTTTATTTTAATCATAAATATGTGCAGAGTAATTATTTCTAAAATTAAATCATAGACAAAAAATGTGTTGAAAAAATGTGTATAAAAATACAATTCTTCTCCATGTCTGAAAACATTTTATGTATGTGGCCTATCTTTATAGACAAGAAATCTATTTGAAAGATTCTGAAACTGTGCATAAAAATTATACAGTTTTTAGACTTTTCTCAACCATTTTGTGTCGTCTTACACATTTATTATTATGAAGGAATAATAATAATAATAATATATGAAAAAAGTGATACTCAACAAAAAGATAAACAAATGAAGAGAATAAATTACTAGATAACAACCTAGGGAAATGCAAACACAATAAAAGTATCCCTTTTTACAACCTTAATTGTTTTAAAAGTAAAAAAAAAGTATTAATTTCAGTTTAACGTTCAAAATCATATTTAAATGAAATTTGATTTTTACATTAGTGAAGTATTTCAGAACAAAGGGTACAAAGCATTTATGGATGAAAGGCATTAAATGAAAAAATGAAACAGGGAAAAAACTTAAAATACAAAATGTTGGGATGAGAAAATGAAAACAATGGAAAAAAAGACAACCCATTTAGAGGATTCGAAAGAAGTCGAGTCATGGGGTGCAGAGAGAGAAATGCGTAAGTGTGAAAAAATAAAAATAAAAGTAAAAGGAAAGATTAAATGAAAAAGAAGCTTAACCAAGAGGTGCAACTGTGCAGCGGTGAAACAAAAGAAAAAAGGAAAGACAAAAAAAGATAAACCAAATGATTGTAACCTGCTATCAAAGGTTGCTTACAGGTCATTGAACTTGTTTGATTGTTTATTAAGAGTACATGTACTTGTGTGATTGTTTTTGAAGTACATGGGTCTATGTGATGTTTTGATAATAGTATATGGGTTTATTTGACCCGTTTTCCTATTATTTTTAATATTTTTTGCCTTCAGCCGCTACAATACGGGTATCAAAGGTACACATAAGTTTTTCGAAAATACTACATTACATGTATTCGATCGGGCTTGACAAAGTTCGTATATATATCGTGATACCGGCTCACTAGCTATATTAAAACATAGATGAACTGTAAACACGAATGAACAATGATTTTTTTTGTGTGTTTCAATAGCAATGTGGTGTAACTTACGTTTAAAGAAATGTAACTCACGTTGATAGGAAATGTAACATGAGTCAAGTTGAAATGTAAGTTGTCTAAAATAAAATATAAGAAAAAAACATTGATTTCAATGTAAACATTGAAAAATTGATCCTAATTGCCCATTTTTGTAAATAATGAATATGTTTTTTTTTTAATATTAGCGCCATAAAAATGATGTAGTCAAAAAAATCATAGGCCGAGGGGGCATGTTGCTTCAGCTGGGCCGAAGTGGTACCACGTCGTCTATTCAAGTGAAGTTTTATTGGTTGGGAGGATGTTACTAGATGTGTTCTAGTTCTCAATGAAAGCATCAAATGATAGATTATTTAATCTAGAGAGAAGTGAGAATTAGAGAGGTAAAGTGACATGTATGAATTAATTTCCAACTTCCAACCCTTTACATGGCTCCCATAGGGAGTATTTATAAGAGAAAAGTGGGCTTAGCTTTCAGACTTGGGCCTGGAAGGCCCAGTTACAATAAAAGGCCAATAAATGGCTAATAAATGATATTTAATCTATTGTAAAAGATATACATGAATAAATATAGTGTACAATGAAATAAATGCTATCTACTGAGCATATGTGGGCCGCTGTCTGGGCCCAATAGTCGTGAGACCCGGGGACCGATTCTATATACTCTATCAAATATACTTCGTGATAAGTATTAAAAATGCAATAGTTGACGAGCACTTTGTCGTAGTGCGTCAAAATAAATTCGATACTAGCACTTATACGTAGTATAGCATAGTAGAGTTCATATCCACAGGGAAAGTAATTCTCTTTTTATAGAACTAGTAAATAAAGGGGGGGGGGGGGGGTTTGGGGTTGAATAATTTAATTTAATTGAACACCAAGATGAACGACTTATATGTGATTTAATTCAAATATAAAAGGGACTTGGCCTTGCTACTTTCCATTTGTTGATATATTTAGTCGATCCTTGTTATTTCTATAATTTATCCCCTCTCGAATACTCAATCGAGGAATATCACCAATTCATCGAGGGTAGTTGTTAACAACGACCGTTCATTAATAACCCTTATTATTAATCAAATATAGAACAATTTCGTATACCAATTTAATAGTAGCATTTAATCTTTTTAACTCCATGATGAAATCAACGGAGATTGATAACCTCAACACAACGGTTTCGGTTTAACCAACAAAATTAACCCCTCTTAAGTTTAACCACGACCATGCATTAATAAACCGAAGTTACTTACTTGTGAAACCACCAATGATTAATCATCGGTTCGTTGATCGTTTCTAGTAGTAATTAATGTCGAGATGTAAACTAATTGTCATCTTAGCAACACTCCCCAACATTAATATAGAGAAAGATTAAGGGAAGAATTAATATTGAAGGGAAGAAGTAAGAAAATAACTCACAACTTTAATAATCAACAAGCTTCAAGAGCAAAATCAAGAAATGGATGTTTAGCTCCTCATTTGGAGACTAAACATGCTAGAAAATACGAAGTATAAAGAAATGCTATTCTAAATTGGGTTTAAGTGTATGGAAGAAGGGGTGAATATTTGTGAAGGAAAAGTGTGCTATTTATAGGTGTTTTTCAACACCTTTGGCCGGGTACTCGACCGGGTATAGTGCCCACCCGACCGGGGTACCGGTCAAAATCAGATCGATTCGCCATGTTCTTGTGTTTTAGCACGTCCTTTTGTCCCGGGTCACATCTCACCCGACCGTGTGAAGTACCTCACCCGACCTGGTGAAAGGTTCTACCCGGTCGGGTATTTGCTCTTGAGCCTTCAAATCTCCTTTTTCTTCACTTCAAAGTCTTCCTTTCCAACACCACAAATCCTAAATCTACTTTACAAATTACAAATGAAAACTAAAACACAATTACAACTAAAATCACACAAATGTTTACAAACTAAACAAAACAGTAAACAATCCACACCAATCAAACATAAAAACATATATTTATGCACTACTAATTAGTGCATATCAATTGTCCTAAATCATAACACAAAAAAAGTATATGTATATAATCATTACATATATAATTATTGTATATAAAATATGACACAAAGGCTCGCGAACCGGCTCGCGAGCCACGAGCTTAAAATAAATAAGCTTGAATTGAGCTTGTTAACTATTCGATTCGACCCGAACTCGAGTCAAGCTTAATATGACCGAACTCGAGTCGAGCTTTTCCCGAGCGATCCACGAGCAACTCGCGAGCAGGTTGACTCATTTACACCTCTAAACATAATATTGAGATAATAAAACTTTCCAACCAGGGAAGTTGGTAACAAGTTAATTGGGATGGAGAAAGTTTGGATTCATGTACAAAAAAATGGAATGTTTAACCACCAGGCAACAAACACTGCTGTATTTAGTAACGGTGGGTAACTTCATCATATACCATCATACCATCAGGATTAATACTTTCCACCCTCTATACTTGATCACTAACTTAAGGCATATTATCCATCTTATTCTCATCTTTAACACATTAATTCCTCTCAGATCAACCGCCATGGCAATATTAACCACCTCTCTTGTATATTTGAGTAGCATTGTTTTCATCACCCTCCTAATTAGTTCCCCTCATTATCTGCAAATCCATGCAGAAGCCGCCGCTGCCGCGGCCAATGCACCGTCGCCGTCGTCAACGACACCGTGGCCAATAGACATCATGACCATTCTTGGAAAGGCAGGCGACTTCAGCATCTTTATCAAGTTCCTGGACACAACCGGCCATATGGGCACTCAGATCAACACCCAAATCATCACGTCCACTCAAGGCCTCACCGTGCTCGCCCCCACCGACGCCGCTTTCGCCGCCCTCCCCTCCGGCGCCCTCAACAAACTCTCCGTCCAGCAAAAGGTCCAGCTCATCCAGTACCACGTCCTCCCAAAGTTCTACTCGCTGGACGATCTTGAAACCGCCACGAACCCCGTGGTGACTCAGGCTAGTGGGTCGGACGGCGAGCATTTCTGGCTCAACTTCACCGGCGGCCTTAACGACCAAGTCAACGTCAGCTCCGGGGTGGTGGAGACCCAGGTTTCTAATGCTCTGAGAAAAAAGTTCCCACTTGCAGTTTATGAAGTGGGTAAGGTCTTGCTTCCCTTGGAGTTCACAAAGGCTCATCGTCCTCATTCGGCCACCCCACCTCCGGGAAAGAAAGGCAGCCGTGGTGCTAGGAACCATAAAAATGCGGCAGCGGCTCCCAAACAGCCCTTTTCGGAAGATGAACCATCTCCTGCCAATGGCGCTGCTGGAAGGCTCAGCCAGCTTCAGCTGGTTTTTGGTTTGGCTTTTGGGGTTTGTGTCCCATACTTCTTCATGGCTTTACTTTAATTTCTTTTATTCAAGAGCACGTTCAGCATTTATTTAACAAAATGTAATAGTAATACTCCATATTAATTAATACTCCGTAATACTACGTATTTATACATGTAACTATACGCATTATGTTTAATAGACAAACTATGTTATACTCTAATGGATAATCTGAAAAGAATCTCTTCATACAAGACTAAGACTGCGTACATTCAACTCTCTACCCTACCATAGGTGAGGGAGCCTTTGTGACACTAGAGTATTTATGATGATGACTATTATATACTCCATGTTACATTTTCCTTCCTTTATTATGGATATAGAGTAATTATCCCGCATCCCTATTAAATCCGCGGACCAACATAATTAATGGCTTTTGGATAGTTAGAACTTGTTTGCCTCATGTTTGGCTATATTTTTACATTTTAAGGCTTATCGGCCCATTTTTGGGGCTTCAAACAGCCTCTAAATGGTGTCAAACCATGAATCAAAGTCATCACTAAGTTTACTAGATTTTGTGAAAGAGTTTGAGGCGGGAGTAGCCCTGAAAACAGCAGCTTTTGCCTCATTAGCCACAGATCCCTTTCTTTTGTTAATTAGAAAGGATGTTTCTTTGAGTAGCTCATCGACACTATCATCAATTTTCATGTCCACTAATGGCAAATTTCCACCGACCTCTGAGACGTCTCCCACTGGAAATGAGCCAAGAAGCAAGTCAAGTTCAGCCTCTGCGCTTGATGGTTTTTTAGCTGCAGTGTTTGGGTCAATTTTTGGATTTTCCATTTCTTTAATTTCCAATGTCTCGTCCTTCACACTATCTATAGATTGTGAGCCTTTCCCGGTGGAAATGGAAACCACACAACTGCTGCTGCTAGTGGTGTTTGTGGCATTGGATGGGCTGTTGAAAAACTTATACATACTCTCACAATCTTCAGAAACCACTTCACTCGTCCTTTTAGCTGGAACCTCTTCATGTTTGCTCTCACTTAGCTTTTGCAATTCCTCCATGCACTATAATGTGGGAAGAAAAACAATCCATGGACTTATGAGAATAAAACATATTGCAGTATTGCACATCATTATATAAACTCTAACCAGGTTGTAGTCCAGACTTTTAAATTTTAAACTGAAATAGTAAGGAACTTTTTTCCTTTTAAATAACCCAGCTCCTAGGATTCAAAGGTTTAAAGTAGATTATTCAGATGCAAGATAAAAATATTTTTAACAGAATATCAGCCATTATGACAATGTACTTAATACATTTACTTAGATCATTATTATTTTTCAGAACACTTTAATATTTAATATGTACTCCCTCCGTCCCTAAATAATTGTCATGTTTTCCTTTTTGTGATGTCCCAAAAAAATGTCTTCTTACCTCTTTTAGAAATAATATGTGACACATATCAATTCACCTTTTCCTACTCAAATCTCAACCACAACTTTTACCTTTTCAACCACTTTCTTAACACTTGTGCTTAAAGGAAACAAGACAATTATTTTGGGACGGAGAGAGTGATTTTTTAAATCAATAGTTTTTTCTGTTTGAAAATGGCATTTGCCTTTGTGCTTTTTTAAAAATGACAATACATTGAAAAAGATGCAAACAAATAGAGAAAATGACGATACATAAAAAAAAAATGGTACTGATCATCCACCTTTTGCACTTTATTGCATGCAGTATATTTTTGGTTAACCTAGTTTATTTTGGAGTGCTACACCATACACTGAATAGTTGTAAAAGGCCCTATAAATACCAGTTCTGGTAGTGAGTCAGGTTCAATGAAAAGCCTTTCCGATATGGTTGCATTTGAAAGCTGTTCCGCAAGAGAGTGCAAATTGAGTGAGAGAAAGGTGGCCTGCAGAAAAAGATTGCACTATTCAGTATGAGACAATCAGTGATTGTCACTCCAAGAAAATTATATTTGGGTGGTAAAAACTCTAAAGAATGTAAAAGTTAATACAGATGTAATATTATCTTATTACAGATGTAGGATAATACTATACTCAGAAAACGAAATAATGGCAAAAACAGAACTGCATTAACTTCCTATGTGCAATAATCTATTTCCCTCACTTCTTCATGTCCACCACATTATGAAATCTAGTATATTATTCTCCAAGTACTTTAGAAAAGAGAGGGTTATTGAAACAACCTGAACTAAACCATACCAAAGCGAAACATAGTTTGGTTTTAATTTGGGAAATCATTCCCCAAAACTGTTTCAAACTGAACTAAACCGAAAGCAAAACAAAGAAAGGGAACCCAAAATGCCCACCCCTACGAGGATGTCTTTTCTAGGCATTACTAAGGAAGTCTATTGTATATGGATTGTGGTGGATTTTTTAATCCGTGGGCTTAAAAAGTCCATAGACTAGACATAGAAGGCACAGAAATTTGATTTTGACAGCCAAAATAATTATAAAAAAAGATAACTTCAATAGCATGTAAAGAGTTTCAAGCTTCCTAATTTCTATTTAAGCTTCAGCTCTTCATACAATTTTAGAAGAAACAGAAACATATCATTTCTAAGGTTGTTAAACAAAAAAAAACACCTCATCTGGTGGAGGAGCTTTGTCTTCTGACCCAAAATTGTCATCAGCAATCCAAGATGTTATGCTTTGCCCCTTAACTGTAAGCAATAGGCCAAACCCCTGATAGAAATCTAAGAAAAAAATCTACTTAATCCTCACTGAATGAATAAGCTTCAGCACCTCACAGTTATAATATAAAAAAAACACCCCAAGTCCTAACAAACATAATATCAAGCAACATAGTCAAAATATCCAAGTATCTCACTGACTAAGAGAATCACCATGTAGAACATCATCAAACAGGGGTACATCCTGCGAAGAATGCCGAGCTTGACCCTTGGCTTCAGAGATCAAGTACGCAAAGTCGGCCCCCTTACTCTTGGGTGCAACAATATCTTGAGGGACCAGATTTCCAGAGTCAACCCCATCACCATCATCCCCTTCTTTAACATACCGATCCCAATTCGAAGGAAGTTGTCTAGAACCATGAGCCTGTGCTGGTTTTTCCTTTGCTTGTTTTCCGCTTTGCTTCTTATCACCAGTAGATGCACTAGGGCCAGAAGAAGCGCCCTTGGACGAATGATGTTGCTGATTCTTCTTACTTTGATGCAACGAATGGGCTCTTTTCGATTTGGCTAATGATTTTGTATCCATTTCTTTGTTGCTTTTGGTTGACTGAAAGGTGTGAATCAGTAATTACAAATACCTACAAATTACAAGTTGATAAAGACAGGAAATCACACTAAAATGAAACCAATATAACGAATAATTTTGGAGGACAATCGACGAATTAAGGATGCCCGATTGTTGTTGGGATGGGCGGTGGAGACGGGAGAGTAAGTTGACAGTAGTTTAGGAAGATCGTTCGCCCAGATGAGACGCAGGTTTTAGGAAACGAGTAAACGGTGTAGTTTTGTTATTCTAACTCATCCAAACGGTGTCGTGCTGGTTTAAAATCAAGTTTTTTGAGTTTTCGTAGGAAGTAGGAACACTCTTGAACTATTCACCATCCCTGATGGGCTAGCCCAAAACCCAGAAGTCCAGAACACATGTCTCTAGTTTAAATTCTGGTTAAAATGTTGGGCTTACGCATTTGTAATTTTTTTTTTAGTTTTTTTTTACCCCAGGGGGCGTCAGGGGGAGGGGGTTTGGAGGGCCTGGGGTAAAATGAGATCAATCTCACTCCATTGAGAATTGAACCCGGGATCTCACATAAAGGAGAGTGAGTCGGCGATGAGCTGGCCTGGACCGCGTCCTCTTGTAAATTCATTTGAAATACATATCATTCACATTGATTTGTAGGGTTGGGACCGGTTCAGTTCCTATTCAAAATGAGTGGAACCGTTATAAAAATTTTAACTAAAGGAATCGGTTCAGTTCCTATATAAAAAATCAAGAACCGTTATGGAACCGAACCGGTAGTAAACGGTTCGGTTCTTCCCTTTATCGGTTCCTAGAATAATTTTTCTCATCTACGAATTAACACATAATTTACTTTCTACAACATAAATATGTCAAAAATTCAAAACACGAGTATTAAAATTTTATTTGAAGCTTTAATCACTTCAAACATCAAAGCTCAAGCTTAACTAATGAACTATGAACACTTAATAGAACAAAAGATTATTTAAATTTTCATGTAATAAATAAAACATAAAAATCGTTGTAGTTTGAGAGCAATGAAGGTTACTCGTCATCATAGTAGCAAGAATAGGACGTCTACTCCAAGTTTTTAAAAACATAAAAAATACATTGAGTTCGCGTGTATAGATACAAAAAAAAACATTATTACATTCTACTTGCTAGTAGCATGATTCATAATGAATCTAATAATTAGAAATATCATGAAAATAGTAAAGTAAAATATGTGCAATCAACTACAAGTTATTTGAGTTATTTTATATTTATAAAATTTATGTGATGGAACAAAACTTGATTTGTAAAAATGAGTTTAATGTATTATATCAACCTCATGTACAATATTTATTACTTCGTTTTCGTTGTTTAAATTGGAACTTTTAGTTAAATATTTTTTATTATATTATTATTGTTGTGGTGATGGTTATTATTGCTATTATATTATTATTACTACTACTGATACTATTTTAATTTTAATTTTTTTAATAATGATTCTTTAACGTTTCCATGCAAATATTTTTTATAGGAACCGGGAACCGAACTGGCGAACTGTTAACAATGCCTAGGAACCGAACCGTTAACAACTAATACATCATTTGTAGGAATCGAACCGGGTTATAACGGTTCGGTTCCAACGGTTCTACAGTTCCCGATTCCAAAATCCCACCCCTAAATTTGTGTTCTTGTCTATGTTTTCTTTTGGACTGAAATTTACTGATCTGGTCAGGTCCGGTTTGATAAACGTATGGTCTCTGCGTATTTTATAACTGTCCAAGTCTGGTCTCGTCTTGTCTGGTATGTTTAAGTCTGGTATGGTCTGTTTAAGTGTAGTCTGGTCTGATTTGATATGCGACTGAAATTAAACAATCCAAAAGAAAATCTCCATAATTTACAAATAGGGAGTATGTTTATAACTTAATGTAGGAAAAACAAAGTCAGTTAAAGATAATTCTTGTTTGTGACATTTTCCTGCATGTGTGCGTATGTTTCTTTAATGTGATGACATTTATTGTCTGTGAAACTAGGTTTGTTTACAACACACATGGTAAAAATGTAAAAAAAGAGAATGGTAAAAATGGAGAGATATTTATAGGGTGTATGAAGTGTGTACACTTTTTGTGTACAAATAGCATTTTTGTTTTTATTTAGTGTATGACTTAATAGAGTTTTTTCAAGAATTAATGTTAAATAAATAAATAATTCCGAAAATAGGGTTGAGTTAAAAATAATTCCCAAAATACTGTTGGCTGGAACCCTGGTTAAACAAAGCCGCCACTCGAAGTGGCGACTTTCCTGCGTGACTTCCGATTTCAACGAAGCATTCCCAAATGCCAACTTCAATGGTGGGACCACATATTTTGAAAAACACTTATTATTTTTAAATGGATATAACTTTTTTATTTTTGCTCCAATTTTTATAAATAATATATCAAAATTCATAATTTTTTGTTATCTTTCATTTGACACCAATATTGCATATATAATTTTTTTAATAAAAAAGTGCAAAACATGTTGCGTATATTATAGTGGGATGTTTAATTTTTGAGAATAAATTCTTTTACTATATGTGTGGATAATGTTTATGGGAAGAAAATGAATACTAGGAAATGATTTTTTATATTTGGTTTTGCATCACAGATTTCAAAGGGAATTAAGTATGATTGATATCATTAAATTTGTTTGCATATTTAATTGTAGTACTCTTTAACTATACAAATAGACATATGCGATTAAATTCATCTCACTTAAAAATTAATTCATTACATTTAATCAAATTTATTTCTCCCATATATTTATAGTTTCATACCATTTTCCCCAATACTTTTCAATCATAAAAAAGCCTTATGAAGTGAATAGTTTTAATCTAATTAAAAATTAATAAATGATAAATTTAAGATTAAATCTATCAATCATGATTAGTACCATGCATTTTTAACTTTAAAAGAGAATATTAACACAAATATATTAACATTTAAATATTCCTACACTTTTTTTACAAATAAGTATATTAAAACATTAACTAGTTTATACGAAACAAATTTGAAAAGTTGGGGAGGGCAAGGCCCCCCTACCACAAAGGTAGCTCCGCTACTGGCTTCACCTGAGTCACAAAAATATTGACAGGGTTGAGATTATGAGTTGGTCTGTGGCCAACAAACCCAGCTCGGTATGCACACGCTTGCATTTATATATTTATTTATTTATTTATTTATTTATTTATTTATTTATTTATTTATTTATTTATTTATTTATTTATTTATTTATTTATTTATTTATTTATTTATTTATTTATTTATTTATTTATTTATTTATTTATTTATTTATTTATTTATTTATTTATTTATTTATTCATTCATTCATTCATTCATTCATTCATTCATTCATCCATTCATTCATTCATTCATTCATTCATTCATTCATTCATTCATTCATTCATTCATTCATTCATTCATTCATTCATTCATTTATATATTTATTTATTTATTTATTTATTTATTTATATATTTATTTATTTATTTATTTATTTATTTATTTATTTATTTATTTATTTATTTATTTATTTATTTATTCATTTAGCTATTTATATTTATACTTTTAAAATTTATTTATTTACTTACATTTGTGCAGGTAGTATAAAAATGGAAAGTTGTGCGTGCGTAGTTTTAATTTTTTAAAAACTAAATTCAAGAGTTCAAAAAGTGGAGCGGTTTAAAAATAATTAGTCTCATAGGTAAGTAAGAGTTCGTATACCGTATGACGGTACGGCCGTCTGTACGGTGAGCACCATGCAACATGTACCATTATAGTGATTTAAGTAAAAATAATGGCTTCTGTAAATGAATATTAATGTACTTTTAGTGAGCATTCGATCTATTCTACTGAGTATTGAAAGTCTAATAATTAACACCGTGATATGAATTTCATATCTTACAATTCACTTTCTTTTTCTTATGTTTTAAAATAACTACAATTTTATGTAATATTATACGTAGTAGATAGTACTTTTGAAACATGTATAATTATGACATTTTAAAATAAGTATTACACTAATATCAAATGAGTATGCGTACATAAAGTACAAAATGAGCATCGAAAAATTCAAAAAGCTTATTTAATTAAAATTTTAACTATGCTCATATTTTCATTTGTAATCGAGGTAATCAGGGTTGAAACTCACTCCATTGAGTTTCGAACCCTTATGTGACTAGTAGGGATGGCAACGGGGCGGATCGGGGACAGTTTTACATATAATCGTACCCGCCCCGTTTGGTAATTCCCCCGCCCCATTACCACCCCAATCGTACCCGCCCCTTATGTGACTAGTAGGGATGGCAACGGGGCGGATCGTTTGACAGTTTTACATATAATCGTACCCAAATCATAACCGCCCCAACGGGTAACAGTTATAACCGCGGGTAATCACTTTAATAAATGAGTCATTGATATTTTAATAAAAAATAATATTTCAAAAGGCGAAAAATGGCATCACCTAGACGACGCTAGACTCAAACGCCACTTTAAAGCTTCATATATCTATACGACGAGAAAGAAGACAACCTAAATCAATTTGAACCTAAAAATACTTTATCTGAAAAATAATTAATCACGAAAAATAGAATAATCAAACAAAGCTATTAAGTTCTATTGAGAACTTTCATTCTTACACTATAGTTAGTACATCTATTATGCATATATACACAATGAACATTAAAAATCTCATCTTTTATTAGTTGTGGGACAAATAATAGATAAAAAAGTAATAAAACTATAACTAAAAATAAACGGGGTGGGTACGGGGCGAGTAATGGGGCGGGCATGCATAAAACCGTAACCGCCCCGTTACTCGTAAAAACAAAACGGGTATTCCCCGTCCCGTACCCATTACCGGGTCAATGCGGTTTTCCCCATTTTGACCGGGGTGGTTCGGTGCGGGTATCCATCGGATCGGTCACAGTTGTCATCTCTAGTGACTAGCGAGTTTCGAACTCGAGATCTCCCACTAGGGACGGTAACCTCACAACAGTTGGGATGGAATGCTTGGTTTCATTTGTGTATGCTCATATAAGTAAAACCACATATATCTTAGGTTCCCGGCCAACAAGCGACCAAACATGCATAAGAAAACGAGAAAAAAGAAAAGAGCGAAAAGAAAGAGAGGAGGATGAGAGGCAGTGGCGGACGGTGTATTGTTCAAGGGTGTTCACCTGAACACCCAGAACTTTCCACCGTTTAGTACTATGTAGTATACTCAGCCAAATCGTATCCCAAGGTAGAAGTCCAAACCTGCATTTCCGATCTACCGAA